GATTAATACTCTAAGACATTCTGATCTTGTTTAGTATATCAGTCTCAAAACAAGATCAAAAATATATATAAATATATATTTTAGCTGGATAGAAGATTGATTAGGTTGACTTTTTTTTTTTTGCAGTATAGGGAAGTAGCTGAGATTGATCTTTAACACATGCTTAGACTAAAACGCTGCTGTTACCTGATGGAGTCGACCCWGTCTAACTATTAGAAAAATATCTTGGGAATCAATTGACATATTTTATTTCATCTTTCAGAAAGTTATTTCATGTACATCCACATCTGATTATCTTTTGGAGTCAATCCAAACCAGATGGCTGTTGTGATAGACCTTAGCCAATACAAAAATCTTACAATTCAGTTAATTTTACATTTATTGGCATACAAAGTCATCTTTATTGCATAATCTGTGAATAAAAACTTGCATTGTCACATACGTATATATATGTCACTTTTTATTATTTGCAGATGATTTAAACAGCACAGCATCTGTTAAACATGGCAAAAGAAAGAGGTAAATTTTAAAAGTAATACATCTTTTTTAAAGTCTGCAAACAGAACTGTAAACATTGCAATCATTAGTGCATTTTGTACCTATCAGCAGAATAAATACAGTGTGTGCTGATGTTAATAATGCATGTTTGGGTACATTCAAATGTACCCACAAAGAGGAAATGAGGAGTTTAACCATAAATGAGAAATTTAGGTGGATTACTTCAGACAAAAAAAACTATTTTTCAAACCGTTAGAACAAAAATACATAAAGACATCAGAAGCAGAAGGAAGATTGTGAACATCAGACCCTTGCTGTCTTTTTTTTTTATTCAGGAAAATAATTTTCTCTTCAAATAATACCCAGAGAAATTCTGCTCATTTGCGGGTTGATATCAGAACTTCAACTCCCTCCCTGAGCGCTCTAATAACCAGCAATCAGAGGGGAAATGAAAGGTCAGTTTTAACATGCTTTATATGCCAATTTGCCTCCGTTATACCTCCTCAGAGGCAAAGTCATCATGCCGGTACTAATTCAAGATATGCTAACTTTTTGTTCCCCCTGTTAGAGTTCATTATTGCATTCACACATTATGCCTACCACCGGCTGCACAGGTCAGTTTAGAAAACTGGTTTTCAGCACCTGTGTGATCATGTTGCWTTCACAGATGTGCACTCGCTCAGATCTTTTCCACTTGTTTGCTCTGTTTTGTTTGCAGGAGACACGCCTAAACATCTATTCCCATCCTCAATGTCCCTTTGCCACTTGCTGTTGCATCATCAGATGTGGGCGACACCTGCTTGTTCTTTTGAGAGGGTTTCACTGCACGCTGACAAGAGTGATGCCTATATGAGTGTGCTATCTGCACCAGTATGTGTGGGTGTTTCTGTAGGTCTTTGCGCTTGTGTGTGTGTGTGTGTGTGTGTGTGTGTGTGTGTGTGTGTG